AGCTCTCCTCTGTCTGCCTGGCTGCGCTTCTCCAACAGCACACGCGCAGGCAGCAGCTGCCCCGCCCCCTCGCTCAGTCACTTAGTGTCTGAGCTCGGATCATACCAATATTAGGGGGGATTTACGCACAGTCGTAAATTCCCACAGTGTGCACTATGTGCTTCGAATATTGTGTGTAGTTTTTGTTTTATACAGTTGTCAGCCAGGCATCTAACTATGAAAAAATTACACTCCAAAAGACCCCGGGCTTCTGAAAAAACAACCCGGGCTTAAGCCCAGTAAGCCACCCCCCCGCTCCCCCACTGCTCTGCAGCCTCTCTTTGCTCTTTAATTTCTAGGATGTCAGTAGGCTCACAGTCCTAAATGCACTCATTTAAATTCTTGTCTCCAACATGATTTAAATAGAAATGGTGAACTGACTTTAAACCCCCCTTTAGAAATGCACTCCTTTCTTTTATTGCGATGGCGTCTGACCATGTTCATGTCTGTCAGAGTATTCTTTTCTGTGAAAACTATGACAGCAGCACCAAGTAATGTATCTCTTTTCAAGCTTAATTCGGATTGTATATGGTGACATTTCTGTCATCATTATGATAAGTGAGTTCACTAAAAGACACAATTGTTTTGAAAAATTAACTGCCATGTTTCAAGCATTTGACACATCTACATTCATTGTTATGCTGTCATGTATCCAAATTAATCTCACAAAGAGTAATCAGGAGGCCTAAAAGTGGTTCCTTTATTACAAAGAAGGTATACAGTAGGGGAAATAATTCCCCTGGTGAATTTGTAATTTTGCCCACTTGAAAAGAAATTAATAGTCTCTAGTTTTTACAGTAGTTTCCTTTAAATATATAGAGAGAACATTAAAAAAATTTATATAAGCGTCATAAACTGATCTTTGGGGGTTTCATATTCAAACTAAATGCATTTCTTTGTGTCTTTACATCTCTTAGCTGTCATATGGCTCCAGCTCTCCTGCTCTGTCCAACCGACAGCGCTTCCCCACTTTCTTCCGTACTCATCCATCTGCTACACTGCACAACCCCACTCGGGTTCAGCTCTTCCAGAAGTGGAAATGGACCAAGATTGCCACTATCCAGCAAACAACAGAAGTATTTACCTCAGTGAGTCATATATTACAATAATTCTGTGAACTCATGTACAATGAGGGGTGTGGTGAAGACACTACACTGGCCCCACCTTTAAATAGGAGCTCGCTAGTCAAAGTTTAGCTAAATGTATATTTAAGGATTTTGTTAGCACACAAGCAAAATTGTGAACTAGATGCATAGTCTTATAATATGCTTCACTCAAACTGTGTACTAACACATCCAATTACTGCAAGGGCAGAAAACTTAACATGAAAAGCTTTCTCTCATTTTATAAAATAAATTACTCTGAATTCACTGAAGGATAAGACTATAATAATGTGAAATATTTTGCCATTTAAAACAAGAATAATGATCTTAAGCTTTTATTTTACTTTAAAAATACAACATGTTTTTTTGCGACAGCTCACTTTGAAACTAAAATATTTCACTCGAAACTACATTTTATGGTTGCACCATGTATTTTTCAATACTGTCCTGTGAAGTGGAAAGGACTTGTCCCCCAGGCTGCTTTCTAACATGTGTGTCATGGTACTGGGTCCGTGACCCAGTGTTTTATGTTTATTGATTAATCTGTATTTTTGGATTTAGTGTTATTCATGTTTTTGGTTCTCCTTATTGTTCTCCATGTGTGTATCCTTAAATTCTAGTCCTTAGGTTTCTGCTACTATGTGTTACACGGTTCATGTCTAGTCACACCTGTCTCTATGTTTGTGCATCTCCCAGTCAGTCATGTCTCCATGTCTCATGTGTCTCATTCCCTCATTTCCTGTCTCACGCCACACATCTGCCAGCGAAGATGTGACAATGTGATTGTGAAAGAGTTCTTTTTAACTCAACCCATGATCTGATCTACACAAGTAGTTTTGGGCCACAACATTTACCAAATTGTGAGTGAAAACAAAGTACAGAGACCTTCCATGGTGTTTATTAAAACCTGAGGAAAATTCTGCTGCTCATGTCATCACCCTGCTAATGATGACTTTGTGGTTTTTATAAGCACTACAGTTTATGACTATTTATGCTCATAAAAACAAATTTAAAATAAAAATCAATAGATAAAATGTTATTTGAGACAAGACAAATATGGACAAGAGAAGATGAGTGTACTTGTTGATTTCTCCAATATTATATGTATCACTGCGTGATATGTATAAGATTTTGTTCTCATTTCCATCACCATTTGCCATCTTTTATCCTCAACATATGGTTTTATGTCTCTCCTGATTCATTTTTCTCCAGGCTTCTATCTGTGCTGTTTTATCTGATTGTTAGTAACATCACCTCCACCACTCACCATCATTTTTCAGAATGACCAGTTCATCTTCCCCCTCACTACTTTGCACTTATTTCAGTTGCTGTTAACTGTTCTTTGCATTTCTTCCTACTGCCTACTATTCCATTATCGTTCTCTTTCCTTTTTTAGTTGCTGTTTCTGTTGCTCAGTCCTCTTCTGTGTGCTTATTATTGTGCTTGTCTCTTTTTGTGTGTCACAGACTCTGGATGATCTGGAGGAGAGGGTGAAGGAGGCAGGGATTGAAATCAGTGTTCGTCAGAGCTTCCTAACCGACCCAGCTGTGGCTGTCAAAAATCTCAAGGTGCGAGTTCCCCAATCATTCTTACACATACCAGCCACCTGGACACTGATCAGTCAGGCCTTGTCTGGCCAGTTAACTGCCAGAGTGTTTGGATACTTGGCAAAAATAGGACAGAAATTTCAGAGGTAGCCTGCTGCTCAGAATGTCGAGTTAGTAACAGATGGAAGTTCTTCCCAATGGACGAAACTTTGGTGTAAAAAGTGTGATCATAATTGTATTGTAGTGTCCTTGGGATGTTTTCACACCTATTTTTTGTTTTTTCTGGTTGAAATCACTGGATGAGTTTGTAAGCGTGTAGATTTGGCCTGTACATAATGAGTAGATACAGTAAGAAGGTGCTGTGTTCTGGACTACAGGAGAAAGAATTTACAGCCAAAGAATTTACATTTATTTCATGGTAAATGGTAAATGGACTGATTCTTATATAGCACTTTTCTACCTCTCAAAGAGCAACTTTGGGTTAGTATCTTGCCCAAGGATATTTGGCATGCAGATTGGGGGGAGCCAGGGATCGAACCTTCCAATCAGCAGATGACCTGCTCTACCTCCTGAGCTACAGCCACCCATTGGGATGGCCTGTACAAACCTTTGCACGTCTATAGTATGTTCCTACATTGACAATACAGACCACACGTGGCTACGGGACATTTTTTAGCCCAAACTTGTAACATACACATGGTTCAGATCAGGGTCAGATCTCAGTCACACCATAAATAAAGTGCCCTGGAGTTTGTTTGGAACTCTACTGAGACCACCTCCTCCAAAGGGTCTCAATACAGTTGTTTTGATCCGCACACCAATGAACTTCACTGAGGGAGCCTGACCAGAGTTTGATTTAACACAGCATTTGTGAAAATACCCTTACGATGCAATTAATGATGGTCAAAATTTGTCCAACTCCTTGGAAAGCAATACAGTGACAATGTTTCAGTCTTGACAATGTTGATGAGTAACTGCAAATTTTGTAGTCAAAAACTCAAAATATTACTGTTACAAATGGCACATGGCATTGCAAGGTAAGTGAATGTTTATTTGCATTGATTTAGTTTGTGCAGCTTTCCAGCTGCCTTCTTCGGCTTAACACAGCACACAGCTCTGCCGTCATCTGTTCATGACCTCAAGCTGAAGCGCACTTGGGTCCTGCAGCAGGATAATGATCCAAAAAACATCAGCAAGTCTACCTCTGAATGGCTTAAGAAAAAACAAAGTAATGACTTTGTAGTGGCCTACCCAATGTCCTGACCACTGTCCGACTGAGATGCTGTGGCATGACCTTAAAAAGGCAGTGCATGCTTGAAAAACCCTCCAATGTGGCCGAATTACAACAATTCTGCAAAATGAATCGGCCAAAATTCCTCCATAGCGCTATAAAAGATTGCCAGTTACTGCAAATTTTCACACCATTGTGTTCTCGCATCCAAATGACTTCAGTAAGATAATGCTAACCTGCATACTACAGCTATTAAAACAGCACAGCTTCATAGTAGAAGAATCGTAGTTCTGAACTTACCTACCTACAGTTCAGGCTCCAAAACATTTGGAGCATAATATAACGATAGAACAAAGAAGCAGAGCAGCTAGAATGCTCTATCACAAGAATGGCATAACTTTCTCTGTCAAAAGTTCAGCAGTTGCTCTGTTCAGCTCCCACACACATATGGACTGTTATCAAAAGATGAAGGGTTACTACAAAGTTTTATTTATGACCCTGTACCATAAAAAGGTACATTTTTGTCACTATGAATATTTGATATGTTTAGTTTTATATTGTGAATTGTGTATTTACATTTTACCCCAGAATTGGGTTTGTACAACTACAGTCAAACCAGACCTTTGGTGCACTGTATTAAGTGGTGATTGTCTGGTGACCACTGGAAATAATGTTTATTCAGATAATTTTTTAAAATTACTGCCAAATGAAGTGACCAGGGTTGTTTCAAGATGGATGCCAAGTGTTAAGCCTCATTTCTAGGAGGAAATGAAGCTCGTGTGAAACATAAAAAATGTCGAATTCTCTTCTTTTTTTAAAAATAAAATCCTGTTCTTTGATAGTTGACCAAGCTGTTTAGAATGTCAGGAGAAAATCTACAGTGATAAACATAAACACTCTCTTTTTGGACATTTCTTACTCGGAGCAACAGAGCTGAGGAATTACTCTCTCTGAGCAGCAGATTCTATGTCTTATCTGGTTAAGTTATCAGATATGTATTGTCAAACCAAAGATGGTCATTTTTGTCTCTGCACAGTCATCAGGATCCCAGACCTGGAGAGCTTTGCTGGCAACAAAGCTTGAGAAAGCTGCAAAAAAAAAAGTTCTGACATGTATTGGCTGACTTGCTTTCTTCCTGCCACACACATACCTTACAATGACCCAGCCCAGCATGCCACCCTAGTTGTAGTAACACAAACATGGTAACGGGATAAATGTCTTGCAGTGGAGAGAACGTCTATTATTGTGCGATGCAGGATGAGGGTTGGCTTCTTTGTACCCAGCCCGGCATGGCTTTTAAAGTGTGTGTTCTGTCTCTTCTCTCTGTGACTGTGCTGTCTTCATTTTATTTTCACTTTCAAGCGTCAAGATGCCAGAATTATTGTCGGCCTGTTCTATGAGACAGAGGCAAGGAAAGTCTTCTGTGAGGTAATGTTCTAACCAGATTCATGTGTATACTTTAAAATATTACATAACAGAAACATTTTAGGGAGGACTTTTTGGCCCAGCTTAAAATAATATGATAATAGTGGGATAATAAGGTGGAAATAAGCTGGTAATGTTATAGAGATAGCAAGTTATCACTTGTCAGTGATCAGCCAAATGATATTCAAGTAATTATCTTGGATCAAATTTATGTAACTGGGTAATAATAAACTAACACTTGATGTGGGAACAAACATGCCTTTCAGACAAACCAATTAGTATTAGTATAACCTGGTAATATAGGTGCTGGACTCTGTCTCAGTCTGGAGTTGCCCCTGGTGAGAGGCGGCGGGCTGGGGGTGGGTATTCTAATATCCTCTCGGCTTGCTGCCGGTACGTTGGGGTTTTTCCCAGTGGACGAGAGAGTTTGTTCCTTGCGCTTTACGGTCGGGGAACGGGCTCTGACTGTCATCTGCGCTTATACGCCGAGTGGAAGTTCGGAGTACACACCCCATGGGGGTGCTGGAAGGTGCTCCACCTGGAGACTCTGTTGTCCTGCTGGGAGACTTCAATGCTCACGTGGGTAACGACAGCGAGACCTGGAGGGGCGTGATTGGGAGGATCGGCCTCCCTGATCTGAACTCGAGCGGTGCTTTGTTATTGGACTTCTGTGCAAATCACAGTTTGGCCATAACGAACACCTTGTTCGAACATAAGAGTGTCCATAAGTGCACGTGGCACCAGGACGCTCTAGGCCGTAGGTCGATGATCGATTTTTTAATCGTATCAGACCTGATACGATTACAGACCTACGATCATATTTTCTGGACACTCGGGTAAAGAGAGGGGCTGAGCTGTCAACTGATCACCACCTGGTGGTGAGTTGGATCAGGTGGCGGGGGAGGACGCTGGACAGACCTGGTGCACCTAAACGCGTAGTGAGGGTGTGCTGGGAACATCTAGCAAAGGCCCCAGTCCGCGAGACCTTCAATGCACACCTCCGGCAGAGCTTCAACAGCATTCCGAGGGAGACTGGGGACATTGAGTCCGAATGGACCATGTTCAGC